TGCTGACTGCACACTGCCTGGTCTCAGTACAGAGACAGCACCCCGCCTGCTGACTGCACACTGCCTGGTCTCAGTACAGAGACAGCACCCCGCCTGCTGACTGCACACTGCCTGTTTGCTGCGCAGCGTCTGCGCACAGTACCTGCAGTATTGCACCATCACACTCCTGGTTCTGTGCCTTCTCACAGCCCCAAATGACATTTTTGTCTTCAAGCCTCCAAGGTCATATCGATCCTCTTTGTGAATATTTTCCCGCTTTGTTTTTTAAGTATTATTTATTATTTATATACAAATTGCTCCCAGGTGAGCCAGGGGATTCTGTAGAGCGCTGACAACATAGGCCTATCATAATACACTTAAACTGGATATACCGGAGGATTATGTAATATTATAAAATATGTCGCATTTCCTATGTTTTGATGAAGATGTCGCACCTACCAACTGCGGTGTGCCCCATGTATCAGCCGTGCATGCTTTAACCCGTAAATGTGTGGTTTTATGTGTTTTTATCGAAAGCAGATTGTAAATGGCTTTGAAAGTTAATTTACATAGATAAGCAGGGCGACATATGCTTATTCACTTTTATGGTCACTTTGCAGTGACAGCTCGGCAGTAATCAGAATAAGCCTGGGCAGATTAAGGCGGGCTGCTCATTTACACGCTATAAGCCCCAGGGCGCCATAAAAGAAACACGGCACCGCGGTCGCAATTCGTTAAAAAATAATGTCAATAAAATAAAATATATACGTACATCACAGCAATTCAGTGTGTAGAAAACTACGTAATATCACGTGCACATATTTTAATGATCGAGCGTTGATTAATTAATTTATTTATTACTGGTTATGATAACACCGTCTCAATATATTTCTCTGCATAATCGTCTGTAGCAAGCATCCCAATGCCGTGGCTGTCTTAAGGAGCTCCATTTGAGTTTACAGGCATCGCAGCATTATATGCGTATTAAATAAAAGCAGGAGACCTATTAAAATCCAAAAAATTTGAGGTAAAAAGTGGAAACACCAAAGTTTAAATCACGTTTAATATAATGCACTTCTCCCTGACTAAATGCAGTAATTAAAATTGCCACGTTCAGCCACCGCTTATTTCTGCAGCCTTCCTTCGTCACCATGCAATGAAACCCATAAAACAGTCTCTTTGACAACGACATCCGTTAACTGCTGTGGTTTATTAAATAGACCCCCGGCTGCCAAGATCAATAACTGAATAATTCACATCAGGCAAGGCATCATCGGGCCGCCTTCACCGAAATATCTCACCACTACAACGCATCATTTAAAATATTTTTCGACCTTATTTGCACATGAATACAGATTTTAACTGCTGAATCTATTCCGCAATAGCCCTTCAGTTATATATATATGCAGCCGTCATACATACATGATTGGCATGCGGAAATGTCACCAGTGATCTTGTCGTCCGTGTATAAGTAGGCTTTATCGTAAGCCTCACAAGATATGGGACGGCAGGTAGTATGGTGATAACAGTTAAACGGAAGGTTGTTACTTTAAACTGGTTATTAGTTAAAATCCCATTTGTGTATCCTTCCGCAAAGAACTTATCCTGAATTTGACCAGTAAAATAGACTATACAATATTCTCTTAATAAAAGTGTCAGGCAAAGACTAACGAGACTGCGGGCGGCGTTAGGATGGAGATCACTGAAAGTGTCTTTGCAGGCACCCAAAAAAAGTAAAATAACCTTTATCAAAGAACAAGCGTAAAAATTTAGCGGATAAATATGACCTCTGTAGTACAGTGAAGGCACATTAAACGAATGCAAAACTAGGGAACCCTGTGAATGTAAAGCAGCAAGAAAGAATCCTTAGAACGTCAGACTTGGGACCTCATAGTAAAACCTCAAGCGTTCATTGCACCTGGTTATGTCCACATTACTGCTCCAGACTTAACCCCCCAGCACCACTGAAGCATCTTGTTCCATGAAACGGCAGTCAATGTGGTGTGGCATGTGACTTTCCCTCCACCTTCCCATAATGCAACACGCCTAACATAAATGGCACACGCAGGCACCTATCTGTTTATGAGGCTCTCCAATGACGCGCTACGTGTTTGAAGTGGAAGATTTCAGCAGAACAATCCCAGACGCTCGCCACCTGCAGTCGCTGCCACACTGGGAACTCGAGACGACACAAGCGACCTGTCGATTCCCATCAGCTCGTCCGCTATAAGAGATAAAACTGGGGACACTTTCAAAGAGAAGCTTAACAAAGCTTTATCAAGAAGAACATCACCGGTTGCCACGAAATTGTTGGAAGTTCAAGTGAACACATCCATTTTATCCAGTGCCAGGTCGTGCCGACTCTGGATCCTATAAAGAACAAGGCAGAGGATGCCAGCCAGTTGCAAGAGAAGTTAAAATGAGCGCGATAATAAAAAGTCAGAAAAACCACTTGCAGACTGGTTTCCCCCCACAGTCCAAAGACATGCTGAGGCTAATTGGAGTTACTAAATTGCCCATAGGTGTGCATGTGTGAGTGAATGTTGTGTGTGTGTGAGTGACTGGTATGTGAGTGTGCCCTGCGATGGGCTGGCCCCCCATCCTGGGTTGTGCTACGCCTCGTGCCCGTAGCTTCTGGGATAGGTAAGGCAGAAAATGGATGGATGGATGGAAACCACTTGCAGTGTTATTTATGGAAAATTTAAGAAAAGCTGAGCTATCATAGGCTCAAATATATGCAACAGGCATTTGCTTTGGTTTGACATTCCGGAGGCCTGTAGCTTACTTAGCTGTCAGGCCGTCCGTAACAGACAGAAGGCGGAAACAGACAGAGCAGAGCTGGCAGAGAAGTGCAGCTTTAGGGCATCTGCACATGAATGAAAATTAAATAAAAACATATTGCCTTTCTCGCACCGGAAGCCATGTTGCGTAATACTGGACCGGGCAGGGATGCCACTAGTGTTATTAAAAGAAATATGATATGTTGATATAATGAGAACACTGCAAAACCTAATCTGAGGTAGCATGATCCCTGAACCCAGCTGTGAAGTGTATTGACAAAGGCTACGGGAATGTTTTGCTCACAATTCTGAACAATTACAGCACTGGTTTTTATAATTCAGCTGCGAAGCAACGACACCACTGAACCAGGAAATCAGAACTTACACAAGTGACAACTGTAACATGAAAAAAGTTTTAATTGAAACCTTTGTATAAAAATAAGTTCTCCTCCATTGTCGCATTTCACTCCTACACTGGGAGGGGGTGGGGGCCAGGTTGCGCCGAACGTGACGGTTTCCTCCATGCAAACAAACCTTGCTGTGTAATAGTCCATGAATGGAGGTCATACAAGTTCAAATTTAGACCAAAACATCACATTTGGAAAAACATCACAGGGAAGGGACGGGAACACATTCATCTCTCTCGCTTTTTTTTTTTTTAAAGACATCTCCTGTCAGTGCATCAGCAATGTTATTGTTATGAAATAAAGGTCTTTATATACAAACACAATCACACACACACACACACACACACACACACACACAGTATTATATGAGGAATGAACAGACATGATAAAGACATGCCAAGGGATTTTAAGATGAAACTAAATAAATAAATAAATACCATGTGTGGAATATCTAATACATATAAATATAGGGGAAAAAAACATCTTTAAATACAGACATTGCATTGATTGTGCATTTCAAACCAAAGTCCCAGTAGGACCCAGGCAAGGGACACATAGAATTTGCAGTGAAATGGGGGAGGGGTGTGTTTTAAAAGGGGAATGTCACCACCACCACCACCAGAGGGCAGCATGGAGCCCTCAGCAAAGAAACCAGGAAAGAAGCACAACTAACACAGGAAGCGAATTCCAAACACCTGTGCAGGATGAAGGGGCGAGTAAGGGGGGGGGGGGCACAGCGAGAGCAAGTGAGTATTCAAGTATCCAGCATGGCGTCACGCCTGGCATTAGACACACACGGCAATAAAAAGAGGCGATAAATAGAGAAACCTCCACAAAAGTAGTCTATAAAAAAGGCACTCAAAATGAAGACATTAAAATCAATCCAGGCTCTATGAGAGCAGCCAGCGTGTCTGAATGAGGGTCAATAAACTGTACATTTAGAAATTAAAATAAAATAACAGTAATAATAATAAACCCTTAAGTTTCAAACGTAAATGCTGGTCAGAGCACCTAATCAATAGGTGTTCCCAATGAGGAACAGTAAGATACAAAAATAAAAATGTCCATAAAGGTAGAGGATGTCCCAGAGCCCTCAAAGGCTCTCCTTGCTGGAGCTGGTGCTGGAGGCGTCGGCCTCGATGCTGTGCAGCGTGATGGTGCACTGGGGGATCCCGGGGGCCTGCGAGGCGTGCATCCACGGGTGGTCCAGGATCTGCTCCAACGTGGGCCGCTCTGACGGCCGCTGCGAGAGGCACCACTCGATCAGCTGCCGGCACTCTGGGAAGGGGAGGGGGGGCAGATGTAAGCCACACAACAACACTCGCGTGACATGGGGGAGGGAGGGATTCGGGCACAGGGAGGCGCACACACCGGCAGAGATGCGTCTCCTGAAAAACAGCTGTCCCCGCAGGATCTCCTCGTCGTGCTCGAATGGGATGTCTCCGCACACCATGTCGTACAGGAGCACGCCTAGGGACCACACCGTCGCCGAGCGTCCATGGTATCTATGGTAGCGGATCCATTCTGGCGGACTGTATACCCTCGTACCTAAGAATGACAGCCAAACGCCAGGGTTATCCCAAAAATCCTTCCACGGACTTATTATGCAAAAGACCAAGGTAAACTAAAAATACAGACAAGTGGAGACGAATGTTGGAGCGTGACACGCCAACATGTTTCCTTAAACAGCCATTACAGTCTTGCTTGCTCCCCATAGAGCTTTAACACGTCGCCATAACACCCCCCCCCCCCCCCCCAGTATCCTGGATACCAAACAAAAACAAGAATGCGTAACGCGCCATGTCACGTGGGCAGCGGTGTCGCGTTTCACAACAAACAGATGCTATGTGGCGGCCGCCAGCGCCCCTCCATCACAGCATTTAAATGAGGGCTTTTCAATTCTGATATTTGCATGTCTGGAAGATCCAAAAAAAAAATGTGGGCTACTTTTAAATCGCGTATTTAGATGTGTCCTAAAAACAGAATACCTATGATATACCCTGCGCGAATATAAAAGCGAAATATTCTGTATGAATACAAATACTGCGCGATCCTCCTCGTGCGTCACGTACTCCGGGGTGGTCTCTCCATCACTGCTGACGTGTTTTAAAGTCCCCGATCCTACTTTCATAACACTGCCCCTTCAACTCCACCAATAAAAAAAAAAAAAAACTCATAACAATCCCACTATGCGCCACCAAACGGCATATTTGGTTATAAAGATCAGCCTGCGCGTACCGTCGTAGTCCGTGTACACGGTGTCCTTGAGCATCGCCCCCGAGCCGAAGTCGATCAGCTTAATGTCCCCGCTGCGCAGGTCCACCAGCAGGTTCTCGTCCTTGATGTCGCGGTGCACCACCCCGCAGCTGTAGCAGTGGCGGACCGCCTCCAACACCTGGCCAAAGAATCGGCGGGCCGTTTCCTCATCCAAAGCGCCCTTCTCGGTGATGAAGTCGAACAGGTCCTTCACGGGTTCCGGCCGCTCCATGACGATGAGCCAGCCGTCCGGCCGCTCGTACCAGTCCAGCAGCTTAATGACTCCTCTAAACGGGGAGCTGACCTTCTTCAGCAGCAGGATCTCCAGAGGCACCATAACGCCGTTCTGCAGAGCAATGCAATGTAAAAAATAATCATGCACTATCCTGCAATTTTACAATAAAAAAAAATATACTAGCCGAGAAAAATGGTTAAAAGGTGCCTGAACTCACAATGGAGCCCCATTCCGTTACTCTCCCCCTGGCCACATGCTTAACGGCGACCTGAAATTAAATAGTTAAAAGGTTATTCGGCGATGCCGGAGATGCTTAAGAATTGCGGTGATTAGTAGTAATTTGGGAGCTGAGGAGCGCCCTTACCGACAAGCCGTCGGCGATCCGGCTCCCGGCGTACACCGTCCCAAAACCCCCGCTCCCCAGCAGGGACCCAACCTGGTAAACCTTCTCGAAAGGCTCCTTCTCCGCTTTCACTGTAAAAAGTGACAGCAACATTTTACACGATCTCATCCATGCAATATTAAGAGGACTTTAATATTAAGTCACGGACCCCAAATATACTATAGTTGCTTGCGATGTAACTAAATGAATACCGAAAATACCAGATTAATTGAGCAATATGAAGCGTCCCATACCTGGCTGGAGCTGTATTTTCACCGGCATGTGGTCCATGCCGGTCGCACTGCAAATATGAGAGAAGGAACCAAACTTGGATCTCAACATATTAATCAGCACAAGGTTTCAAAAAAGCAGATTTCCCCGGCGTGTTCCCCAAAGTCCAGTATCCAGTTCCGTGAATATCTCTATTATCCAGCCAATATACTACAGTAAAAGCGTGGTGAATGAATCCGGTACGTCCAGTTCCACACAAGACTAGTAATGAATGTTCACCACTGGGGGGGGAAATGAGATCCAAGAAAATTCCGCAAAAAGCAAAGGAAATACGCTGAGGCGAAAGTCCTTCTTGGATCCAGCAGGAGTAGGCGAGCTGTCAGCCGGTACCACGACCGGACGCCGGGTCCCCTAAGCACCGTATGCACGAGCTGCGAATCCCCGTCCCAACTGCGGCCGCGCGCTCTCCGCTGTGAGCCTCCGCGCCGCCGTGACCTGCCTCTTAGCACGCACGGTTGCGGATGTATCCTTCCGCGTCAGGATGCGTTTGAACTCTGCCGGCCGTTTACAGCCGCCCCCGGTCTACAAATCTCTGCCACGGACTGGATCCCGAACTCCAAAGACAAAAAATAAATAAAGATAAACGCGTGTCTCACAGACGCTGAGGGTTAGAACGATATCAGTGCAGTCATATGACTGAAAAATCACAATGTACTACTTGCATGGAACTCACACGCCGAAGGATTCCTCGTCTGGAGGGCTTTCCGTTGCGTTTCATTAGTGAAATAGAACTCCTATTGACATTCGTAGTGCTTTCCTGGCCAATGGCATCGCGTCTATAAATGCCGCGATCCTTTTCTGGACCAATCGACGGAGATATATTAGCATAAAGAGGCGGTTTTGAGCGCACGTGGCGGGAATTCCGAGACACGTCTTTTTCCTCTATGTAACCCCCCCCATCCATCTCCACCCCTGCACTCCCTTCCTCCGCCCTTTCCTCCCCCCTTCCCTCCCTCCATGCGCTCCGCCCCTCCCGCCCCGTCCCTGTCTCTCTCCCGCTATCCCCTTCCAAATCCCTTTTACACCCGCAGATCTCCAGCCGTGGGAGAATAGGAAATTCGGGATTACCATATAAAAATAGAAATACCGCAAAAGCGCAATCCTTAAGGTCATTTCTGTTTTCACCAATAGCCACCTTCTGTAGTTAAGTCTAGTGCCTAATGTGAAGTGGAGTTTGGCCGTGCCCCAAGGTTAAATGTATTCTAGGTAGACAAACAATGCCACGATCTGAGATTACATATGAGATAAAATAAAAGAATAACAATTAAATTGTCACATGGAAGAAATGTTAACCATTTATAATATTCATTAATTTACATGTGCTTGGGATTAAAATAGACAATGTATAAAACGTAACCGATTCAACACAGGAACTTATTTATATTTCATTTTTTAAAATGTTGTAATCCTGTATCTGGTATTCATACAGTAACATAATTACCTTGTATTGATAAGCAATTGTGGAAGACAGGTTGATGTTTGTATGATGTATTCAACGTTAACATCTCTTGAATCTGTATACAATGTATGCAAATATTACTGAATGTGTGCATTACTCAAAAAGGTACGTTTTTGGGACTGATGATGTAGACGCTGTAGATATATTTGATTTGAAAACACAAGATATTTATTGGTGTATGGTGTTTTGATATTTGATATTTTACACATGTGGAAAGCCAAACACCTAGTGTACATACCCTGACCTTCAGCTCTGTTTGGAATGTATACTTTTGGGCTGGTGGGGAATTGGAGGCGGGATGCCAATCCAAAAACTGGAAAATATTTCCACACTTTGTTTCACTGGTGTCTAAATATGTAGCAAATAAAAAGCAGAGATCCCACAAGTCGTCCCCCCCCGGAATGGTACACCTACTGGAGGGTACAGTAAATATGGTCCAGGGAGTTAAAAACGTAAATACTCACACTTTAAACACTGTTAATGAACAGTTATGGAACAATTAGCAAGGTAAGAATTGCATTGAATTAGATTTCTCACTACAAAGTTTTACTGAATCTAATGGCAGTTCATCTTTCTCCATGAGGCTTCCTGTGCTGGGTGTGTAAGCAGGTACGCAGGAACGCTGTGACGCAAGGCCTAGTCCCACTCTCCATCTCTTCAGCATCATTGCTCTGCAGATGGGTATTGGGTGTTTGTGTTACTCTTCTTTGATTTCTGTGAAAAATGTCCTGTCTGGAAATACTCTCTGTACAGATAATGTGTTCTGGGACTCCGAGTGTCTGGGACTTTTGTGTACCTGATCTGAATGTCAGATTAGCTCTGCTAGTTTGCTGCTTTGACATTGTTATTTCCTCTGATAACTCCCTGACAGTGCGGATTTCTTTTTTCTGCTACGTGAATCTCAGTAGCACAGAACCCTAGCTTTATATTAAATTAGATTTTTTAATGCACCCATTGTGCATTTTGGGATATTTGGCAGATGTTTCACAAGTTTCATAGTTGATTCTTTAGACTGAGTAACAATCCTGTGACATTTGCATTGCTACCTGTGTGCACGGATTCTGTGGAATATGTCATGTTGGCTTGAGGCCATGTTCCCAGCTGGCTGTTCCTTGTTATTGACTCTTTCACATCATTTTGGAAGTTGTCAATTGTTGATATAGCCAGAGAGTTCTATTCAATAATTCTGTAGGTCAAGCTGTCCAGTTTCAATGGTTTAACACAAATAATAATTATGGAACACAGCGAGAGGTACGTATGTTGATACATGCCCGTTCCTCTTCCGGCATTCATAAGAACAGGCTGATTTCTATACAGACACCTTTGGTCACACGCATGCACACAGCAGCCTCATCCTTTATGTACCCTGGATGCACTAAACTGTTCCTTTAACATCGAACATCAGTGTGGATATGTGCTGATCTGGTCCACCAATTATATATGCCATTGCCTACACTCATTTCGCTTTTATCTGTAAAACCCTTGATCTGTGGTCAGGAATAACCTACAGTCAGAGATGAACCGTCCAGCATCTTCTGGACGCCTGGAGTGTTTGATATTTTGCTCCACTTTAATTGCTACTTTATAAAACTATATCATTGAACTCAGATGGTCTGTTAAAGTGCACAGATGGTTTAAGCTGAATTACATCTATAATTTTACAGACTTTTTTGGGACACCAGAAAAGAAGAGAACCTTTTGACAGGGGCTGCTTTGCGGCAGAGTGACCACAACAGAAGCAGACCAGCTGTAATTCCAGGCCTGGCCACATTATTTGGTTCCTACCTGGATTCCATCCAGCTCTCTCTTTTGTTTCATGCCACCAGCAGGCCGGGCAGAAATCCTTCTCAGTAGTGGAACCAGGTGTAAGGAGAGGCTGCGTTCTGACACACGGCACCATGGCTTGGCTGTGCATTTCAGCCGCGCACACGTGGGAGAAACTTACAAATAAGAACAAAGGGCCGTAAGTCTCATTTCTCCTTAAAAAAAAGAAAAAACAAGCTAAATTCATGTTGTTAATTTTTAACTTTTGTCTTAGAACTGCAATGGAAATACTGACTGGCACTTTTATTTTTTTGTACAGAAATTGAAATAAAGGACCATAATCGTTTTCCGTCATCAGGTTACCGCGCTCTGTTGCAGTTTGTACTGGCAGACGGAATGATTTATGATGATTTATGTTACTCTTCAGATCACTACTGTTCATCTGATTGCAACATCGTCTCTCAATTGTGTTGGAACTTTCTCAAAAAACACTTCTGTGTTATTACATTAACATCAAAAGAGAGGATTCCTCCATTACCCTGCCCCTTTAATAGATCAACAGATCCAAATCACTTTACTACAATTCCTTGACCTTATGAAAATTGTAAGAAGTATTGCAGATGACAGCCAAATATGTCCTGGGGATGTTTTTCATCAATATTCATTTCTCTTCAGTTTGGATTCCAGCTAATGTGCATGTTCAGGGAACACCTCTATGCCAGGCCTGTGGGTATTAACGAGCCAGTCACGTGTGAATGTCCCACCCAGTGTTTAACTTTAAGGTGCATAACGGCGATCCCGTGATGTGTGATAAACCAGGGTTCCGTCTTCAGGCGGCCCTTGGAAAAGCCGTCACGTTGCTGGTAATCTAGCTGTGTAACCATCGTCTGTCTTGACTGTTCCTTCCTGCCGGAAGTCATAAGCCAGGGAAGCCGTATGATTCCACAGGAAGTGAATTTGCCATGCCCATATTTCTGGCGCCGTGGGGAGCACGCTTTTCCCAGCGCGCTTTTCGACACGGTCCGACTTAAGCTGCAGATACATTATGTGACTTACTAATCCCCATCGCTTCCCTGTGGCTCACAGAAGGACATTATGTGCAAAGCAAGCAAACCAACACAATGATGGACATACAAATGTCTGTCATCACACTTGCCCATTTTTTGATTTAAATGCAGATTGGCACGTTTTTGCCTTCAGTCCGGTTTCCAAATAGCGGCGCACAGTGATCTCACAGCGACGGCCAATGACGATGCACCATGCCTGGGGAAGAGGGTGCGAGGGAGGACACAGATGGAGACAGAGCAGAGAGGCTTTGCAGCCTTACTGTCACTCTGCCCCATAAGAACCTCTTCCCTTGTGCCCAGAGCCCCAACTTGCATAAACACCACAGCAGGAAGTCCCCCCCCCCACTTACCCCACACCACAAGGCCTGTTTCATCTCCCGAATGCCCTGAGGTTCGCGTGTACATACACTGTAGCGCTGAATGCTAACATCAGCACTACCACGGGGATGTTTATTCGTAACAGATTTCCTTGAACGCTTGCATTTTATGTCAAAGCGGAAGGACAGAACACGCCCAAGGGCTCAGATAACAGCCATAATAACACGGGTTTCTTGATGATTTTTCTGAAAATGAGCTCCTGCCCCTTGCAGCAGGAGCACTGCGCAGTGCTTTGAGTGTTTTGGTGCTTGGTAAAGTGAGGAGCCCCTTCCCGCCTTAAAGATCAACCATTCAAAACCTCGTTCGGAAAACTGTGGCTTGTGAGATCATGGTAAGTATACGTTAATAGAACAAAATTTCTTTTTTTAAAAATCTGCTATCGTGCCTTACTATTCTGGCAAGTATTATATATCTGCGATATGAATACCGGGCTGGATTAATGGTGTGGGTGCAAGGCCTTCTGGAGAACTGAGGCAATGGAGATATGGGAGGGAAATTATTTCAGCCAATTTAGTCCGAAAGGACTGAGGACAGCACTTCTGTAGTGGAGAAAGATGATGCCCTTTGACCTCTCCATGTGAGGGATCCTATTGGCTGGCTGCACTGACGGGCTTTGTGCCATTTGTGCCCAGTGTGTGTGTGTGTGTGTGTG